ATAAACATTACACTTACATTTTGTACAGTTCTTTTGGGTAATAGAGAAGATATATCCATCCAACAATCCTCAGTTATATTGTAAAATTCTGTATTTTAATTAAGATATTGAGACTTCTTTCTTCCCATACTTTAAACTGCTAAGAAATTATGAGATTTGGAAAACCTTTGGTGACAACCAGAGTCCTGTCATTAGCAAATGCCAAAATAATAATAATAATACACCTAAAATGATAAAGTACTAGTGTCTGGGCTGAATAACTCTTTAATTGGAAATAATTCATGTTTAGTATTCAACATTAAGTGGTGACTAATAACTATATCATGTGCTTTCTTAAATAGGATAGATAACAACATGTCTAATTTTAATGTAATTCAGTGAAAATTTTACCGTTACTCTAAAATGCTATCTGATTACTTTCAGAGGAGTTAAAAAGTTTTTTAGTAGTGAGCATATCCATCAAGTGTTACCAGTAAAGGTCCTTAAATAATTTTATTCTCTGAAATTGTTGCTATAAATGACTAGAAGGTCTTAATATTTAATAAGTACATATTGTATCCTTTTGGAAACAATTCAAAAGAGGAATTTGTTCTTTGCTTCTTCCTAGAAAACATCTACTCTTGTTTGACCTCCTTCCTGGCTCTCACTGACTGATCATAGAAAAAGGCCTATTTTTTTCTTTCTTACAGAAAGATCTATTTTGACAGTTATTTTTTCCCTCCAGGGAATCTTTAAATAGCAAGGTAACAAGAATCTCAGAGTGAATGGTACAGTGAATGTGAAAAAGAAGAATGACATTCAGAACAACTTTTCCTCAGTTTCACATTCAGGGAGCTCAGTTTACTAATGAAGAGATTTAGTCTAACCATGTTCCCCGAATATTGCTGTCACATTTAGTAAATTGCTTTTAGAGTGTCGATTTAATATTATAGCCTCATCCTCTCACACAGCTTTGACTATCATCCAAGTCCATCCTTTCACCTTAAATCCAGGCTTGCAATGCCCAATGCTTTGTAAATGAATTCCATATTCAATTTCACAATTTGAGATTAAGCTGTTAATTTCTCCAGTCCAACAAGAAGCTCTCCTCACAACATCGCCTGTTTTCCATTGACACAGCCAGTTGGTTATCCAGGCTCAAGATATTGATAGCTAGGACTCAGCTTCCCCTTCACTTCATGTTTCTAGAGAGTCTCCAAATAAAGGTTTCCTCCTAAAACTTTTTCAAGTTGTATTTTAATCTTGTTCTCTGGTGCCCATTCTTCATGCTGTATCATAAAACTGAGATAACTTAGTGTGAAAAACCATGGAAATACGTATCAGATAATGTGTAAGTCCTAAGCCTAGGATGATGACAATGTTAGTAGTGGCTCTAGAGGCAGAGAAAGCAAATCCATATGCAGAGAAGGTGTCCATTCATAAAAGATGAATTTCTGCGCCTTCTACAGAGATTGAGTCTGATAAAATCAACCTACCACCAAGTGGCTGACTGGCCTTCTCGAAGGATGGTGTCGTAATGTGAACTCAGTGTTCTCTGTTCCTGACTAGATGGCAGTAGCTAGATAAACTTTAGAGAAAGGGAGCCCTGTGATTGAGCCCATATAACTATACCCCTGCCACTGTGGTCATTGCTCATGGAGGTTGCTAAAGAAAGAGGCTAGCTGATATCCATAGGACAAGTCTTCCTATCTACTTGGTTATTGAGTTGCTTCTTCTCAGGGAAATGTTCCCTGATGGGTATTAACATGAGACACAAACAAATACACACACATTGCGTCCACTTCCATAGATCCAATCGCATGCATCTTCCTAAGATTTTATTGTCGCTTATCTTCTAATTGTCTTTCTTCTGAGTCCTGAACAAGTAGCTAAACCATTCGTTCTGTCCAGAAACCCAAGACTCAGACCACTTATCCTCCTATGGAAAGTGAACTTCCAAATGTTATCTTTGAAGATTTACTGCCATCATCATGTCTTTTAGAGCCATCCCTAAGTGAGCCTAGAGTGTACCAATTATTCAGTAAAGTTAACATGAACAAATGACACCAACTTATCTATGACTCAGGCCTCAGTGTTGTCTCCTTTGTCATTTAGTTATAGGGAACCCTATGATGCTATAGCCATGAGTTGTGGGAGAAGGATTGGTACGACACAGCTGATTTAGGCCATTACATAACTATGTAATTTACTTGTGTCATCTGAAACTTCTCAGGCCCAGTCCTATGATACATTTACAATAAATCACTTCTCTTTTGGCCCACACTTGTGACTCAGTGGATTAGATAATATACAGCTTTATTCCAATAGTAAATTGGTGTTCCAAGATTAACCCTCTACTATGTTCCATTATCACACAGGAATTATGTTTTCCAAATGTTGCTACAGAAGGCATGGCTTTGTTCTCTCTAGTACCATAGGGGTTTTGCTATGAGTCTCCTATTGAGGTCTTACCTTTATTAGGCTGCCTAGAATGCTGGCCACTTCCTGCTAATCATGTCAAATTACCATTTATTTCACCAGTATTAGGAACCAACATGATGTGTTGCGGAACATAAAAAACAATCGAAGTCTCTGCAGACTATATAGTGACAGAGAGCAGATTTAACGCAGCTCTGAGGCAAGACAATGAATGTATATTGCTGTCTTTCCCATGTAAAACTGATCTTGTTTTGATTTCTCTTACCCAGGAGGACTGAGGAGAACACTTTCACCAAAGCAGTAGTATCCACTTATCAAGCACAAGAGGCCGAGTTAATCTGCTCCCCAAAATATACCAGCTCCAACATGTGGTAATTAGGCTTAGCATTTGGTTAAATTTTGATAGTTCACTGTCATATTGCCATGATCCATCTGGCTTATGCAAGGCCCAGAAAAATCAATTAATTGGCATTATGAGGGGAATCTCATTGTTTTTTTAATATTTAATATTTTTTATTGGTTTCAGAGAAGAAGGGAGAGGGAGAGAGAGATAGAAACATCAATGATGAGAGAGAATCATTGACTGGCCACTTCCTGCACACCCCACACTGGGGATCGAGCCCGCAACCCATGCAAGTACCCTGACTGGGAATTGAACTGTGACCTCCTGGTCATAGGTTGATGCTTAACCACTGAGCCATGCTAGGCAGGCTGCAACTCTATAGTTTTAATGATGGTGTTAATGTCTGAAATTCATTTTGACACGAAGTTCGATGTCTGATTGCTATCTTTGCTGGAGGCGATGCAGGGTATGCAGTTTCAAGGGCTTTTACATGGCCTTTCCTACCACACTTGCTGGTGCTCCCTAATGAGGTAGCCAGTGTGAGAGTTCTAACCACAGAGTGTCACCACCCTAATTATACATTCAGGAGCCTGTGGAAATAATTACAGCATTTGACCAGGTCCACTTGAGATGGACTTGAACCCCAAGTCTACTTATCACCTGCAGAAGATACCACAGGAGTAGAAGAAATCACACATAATAGAACAGATAAGGACTATGATAACACTTAACATTTAAGAGGGACGCAGAGGGAAAACATGCAGTAAAAGAGACATGGAAACAGAGATGAAAATGGAGAATAAAGCGAGAGTAAGAGCCAACAAACTAGGGAAGAAAATATTTTAAAGAGTATAACAGTGAAATTAAGAATGAAATAAGGCCAATAGATATAAAAAATAGGAAGACTATTTTCCTTTGCTTGAGCTATCGAAGCAGAAGAGCAGGGGCAGATGCCAAATTTCATGGGGTTGAGAAGTACAGGGAAGCATAGGCAATGGGTTGACACTATTTTAGTTAGTTGGCTCGTGAAAAGACTAAGAGTGAACGGATGATGGCTCGAAGGGGAGGAGGAAGCAGACAAGGAGGTGGCTGTTATTTAGGATTGGGACAGGTCTGCAAGAACTTTAGTCAGATGACAGAGAAAAATCAAAGATATAAACGGGTGATAAAAGATTCTTCTTTCCCTAAAAACCTTTGTTCTTCCAATTCTAATGTGAATAATAAAAAATCTTTCCATAGTCCCTTTGGAATTGAATCTTTAATCTTTTATATTGGCTAGTTTTATGACCAACATCTTAATTTTATTTTCTTATTGCTTGTAGCTTAGTGCAATAAGATTTGCAAGACTAGTAAGTGTTAGACTGCAGCATGAGAGAAGGAAGGCATATTTCCACAATTATCTTGCCTAAATTGAAGCTGTCCAAATTTGAATTACTAGTGCTTTTTAAGAGATAACAACCCATTTCCTTTTATTGTCTTTTAATATATGACAGCATTACAGAATTAAAGATCACACACTGATGATGAAAGCCATTGTATTGGAAAATGGGATATTCTGGTGTGCCTGAAAAGATTGATTAAGCAACGAACCAAGACAAGTGTATGGTTCTGTCAAAGTAATCAGGCCTTTGGGACTACTTAAGGTTATAAACAAAAGCAGGTGTCTAATTCCTCATGAGTCCTTTTACCATTGAGAACACAGACACCAATATGTGTATGTGTGCGTGTAGTATACCATTTCTAGAAGGTCCTGTATTCTATAGAAGTTATTTTCTTTTATTTCTCTTTATGAGGAGGGTGCCTCTTTGGATGTGTTCTTATAGAAATGTATTTAAATATGTGATGTGATGTATACAAATGTGTGTGCCAATATACACAAAAATATACAGGTTCATATATTTTAAAAGTATACATTTTGGTGTATACATTTGTATGTTTGCAAGTGCAAATTAAGGTTTAAACATAGGTGCTGGACTTATTGAAATCACACTTGGCTCTTCAATTGTGATTTTAAAAATCCCTTAAAAATATGAGAAAATAATTCAATTAGGCATTATAATTAATTTTGAGAAAAACACAGATCTCCTTAGTAATAGTATAGACTTAAATGTTACTAAGTAACTATATTTTTAATTGGAGTTATTGCAAAAAAATTGCTTTGAGTCAGCACTCTTTATATAGCTAAAAACTAACTGTAAAAAATTGGATTTAAAATATGATTCTTAACATGATGTGATGATAACGTGTGATTAAGGAAAAATCAAAAGGAAACTCTTTATTGAACAAAGAACCTGAAAATAGAAATCCATAGTGCCAGAGCTGATATCTACGGGCTCATTCCCTGTTACGTTTTTCATCTGAGATAGGCTCCCTCTTTGACGTTGTATGGACTTTTATGATCCTGTAGAGGAAGAAAATAAAATGGAAGTCAAGGAAGCCTTTTTATTAGGTCATTTACTCCTCTGGCCATAGCCCTTTCCTTTGAGCATTTACCATAAAACAGACCTAATCTTTTGCCTACCCAGAAGAAGCCTAACGAAAGAAAATGGAATTGCAGGAGGACCACACACAACGTAGATAGAGTGTTTTTAGGAACTACTCTGCCCCGAAGTGGCTGAGCTCTAGGAATGATGTAATTAAGGTGATCTTGGAGAATTTCACTATTTTGGGATACCCAGGAGTTTGGCAAAACATGAGTTATTGGATGTATTGTTTTATTTATTTATTTATTTTTATTTTTATTTTATTTTTTTTAAATATATTTTATTGATTTTTTACAGAGAGGAAGGGAGAGGGATAGAGAGTTAGAAACATCAATCAGCTGCCTCCTGCACACCTCCTACTGGGGATGTGCCCGCAACCCAGGTACATGCCTTTGACCGGAATTGAACCTGGGACCTTTCAGTCCACAGGCTGACGCTCTATCCACTGAGCCAAACCGGTGCTGGCAGTTTTATTTATAAAGTATCACTAAGACCATACCACATTTGTCCTCAATAAGAAGGTACTGAAATAATATAATACTTTAGTCATTGGTCTATCATCAAAATTTCTAACTCAAAAAATACATTTCTTCTTAATTAGATTTGCTATCCTTAGCCACCAAGATTGAAGCAACTGATAATATTTATATCTCTAACAACTGTGTTTCATTTGTACAAAAGAAGAACAGAAATAGGCTTTCATTAAGCAACAACGATGTGCCAATCTCTGTGAAATATGCTTTCACGTGTGTTGTTTACTCCTTGAAATAACACTAAGAGATTAGTACCATTATCCCCATAGTATAGACAGTACAATGAAAAAGTTAGGTTCTAAGCCTGATCTTTATGATTTAAAAGCCCACCTTGGGCTCGCAGAGAGAATGAAGACTTACTTCAGTGAGATTGTTTTGAATTGGTCTCAGTTATCCAGCCAGTGTTCTTTGAAACAGCCACACATCATTGAACTTGGATTTTGCAAACTCACTTCACCTGTGAGAACATGAATATGCATAGCCTTCAGTGCAGTCCATTGAGAAGACCAAATGGGCCACAGGGGATAGGGTTTGTGGCTTTGGTCTCAGTTTATTCATCCATTAACCAACCTTTACCGAGCAAATATGTGCAATCTACTATTTTAGGAACTAGGAACAAAAAAGAAAAAGTTCTAGCTCTCAAGAATATTATATTCTATTGATTTCTGTGCGGGGGAGGAGGGGAAGTGGGGGAATATACAGATAATATACAAAAAATATCTGAATACTAATTGACCAATATAAGCAAACACATATCTACTTGAAAACTAAAATCCTTTTGAAGGAAGTTGGAAATATGCATTGTTATGGCAATGTACTACCTCCCCTGACCCTAAACCCTGCTTTTAGTTACCCTGAAGAATTAAGTAAAAGGAATAAACCCCAAATCAAAACCAATAGCCACAAAACAGGCAGCATGGGAGCAAGGCAAGAATTAACTGATGCTCCCAATGCAGTTCTGCTCCCATCTTTAATGTGAAGATAAATATAAGAGAGTAAGGAGAAATTTTAAGTGATCACAGTGGGACCGGTGTAAGTGGGATGGTGAGCCCTTTAGATACTAACAATATCATTAGCAGCACATTAAATACAGTGCTTATTGTACTGGCGAAATTGGTTGGTCATAGAAGCATAGCATTGTTCATGTGCTCAGAAATAGTCTCTTAATAACCCCCTTTTTTGCACACTATTTTTAGATAATGGTTCTTGGGCACCCTGAAACCAAGGTTTCTTTCCATGTGCAGTTTTACTTTTTTTTTGTTCTTTGATCCTCTGGGAACAGTGGAAAAAACTGACAGAGATATGCTCCAATTCCAGGTCTTCTATTTATATGCTAGCTATAGCTATATTTCTTCAGAAAAATGACTCTCTGAATCTTGGTTTCTTAGAAACTTCATCTTTATTCTAAGAACAATAGAGGGTGGTGAGAATTACATTTAATTTAAATTGCCTGTCATATAGGTAGGCATTTAGTAAATTTAGTTAAAACCTTGGAATATCTGTTGTTTCAACACTATATGACTAATCTACACTAATAAAAGAGAAAGATGCAAATTGGCCATTCCTTTGTGACACCCACCAGCTAATCAGGAGTGAGTATGCAAATTAACCCAACAAAGATGGCGGGTCAATTTGCATATGGAGGTGCCGAGTGGCTGGGACACTTGCGTCATCATCATGGTGACGACGCAGGCGTTCTGCACTGCCCCAGCCACTGTAGGCCTCCTGGCAGCGTGGGAAGGTGGAAAAGCGGCTCCAGGCCTGAATGAAGGCAGAAAGGCATCTCTGGGCTGGAGCAAAGGTAGTGCCGGCAACCAGGGGAAGGAAGGCCCATTCTTGCACAAATCTTCGTGCATCAGGCCTCTAGTCCTTTATAAACACTTTATTTTACTAGCAACTATGTTTCTGATTGAAAGTGAGTCCTCAATAAATACCTGTGGATTGGATGTTCATATTTTATATTTCAAATATTTTCAATATAGTGCACTTAAGGAAAGAACTATGTACAACTTAGTTACCATCTTTAGGCATATCAAATGATCCCACCACTAGTGTGTTAATTCAGGAAGGAAACCCAGTCTTCTCAGGGTTTTCTTTTTTTCTTTAGCCTTTGGCTCAAACCCAGAAAAGCTTTCTAACCATTAGAGATGCCCCACAATGGAATAGACTGGCAAGCTCAGAGGTAAGCTCCAAATTCCTACAAATGCTAACAAAGAGGCATCCATCAGGAATGTGGTAGAGATTTCTAAATTAGTTGAAAATTGCTCAAGATGATTCCCCAGGTCTCTTCTCACTCAATGATCTCATAATTCTAAACAGCACATAGTGCTTTATTTAGAAGCAAGTAAGAAAAAGGAGCCTTTGATTTCCCATTGCAAGTTTCACAGGGACACTTTGAGCATTATATAAAGTATATAAATTTTCTTTATAGGTAATAATATCTAAATATATATATATATATATATATATATATATATATATATATATTTAAAAGGCAAACTGACCAAGCATACATCTGTCCAACCATCCGACTGACCTACTCAATTTAAAAATAGAGGTTGACTCGTGCATGTGCAATATATGTAAAGCTCCCGCTGGCACCAATCGCACGCATGTTTTGATCTGTCATTGTCTATCATGAATGTGGTTGTTTCTGTTGACATTCTGAAGCTGAAAGAAAGTGGCATCATTGACAGAATATGTCTGAAGACCAACTATTAGCACAACATACCTCTAAAGCTGAAACAAGCTGGCGCGACGAATAGCGATATTAAAATATTTCTTCTAATTAATTTCCTTTCAATGTGTATGAATCTGTGCACCAGGCCACTAGTAATATAATATAATTAATATAATATAATATAATATAATATAATATAATATAATATAATATAATATAATATAATATAATATAATAATATAATATAATATAATATAATATAACATAACATAATATAATATAATATATAATTAATATAATACAGCCCTACCAGGCACTATTCTGAGTTATTTACAAGAATTAACTCATTTAATACTTACAGCAATTCTATGAGTTAAGTACTGTTTGTATTCCTATTTTACAGATGAGGAAACTAAGGCACAGAAAGGTTAAGTGACTTGCCAAGGTCAAATAAGTGACGGAGCTGGGACTCAAACCCAGGCAGTCTGGCTCAACATCCGACTAGTATGCAGTGCAAGGGCCTCACACAGTACAAGCCTGTTTCTCATAGATTCAGGGTTTGTCCCACTAAGCTAGAAGTTCCATGAGGGCACTGACCATATCTGCTTACACTCACCATTGAACCTATGGTACCTGACACATATTAGCTAACCAATGAATCATTTGAATATTAATCTGGTCCCTATTTTTTATGACTTTTAAAAGTTTTTTTTATAGAAAAGTGTGTTGCTTAGTGTTTATACCAAGATTATTATTTGTCTTATTAGAGGTAAGAAGTGGTTCAGAAATGTTTGTTTATACTATACTCAATACCAAAAGACCTTGAAGATTACATAACATGAATACATAAAACGTGGTAGGAAGATCTAATTTAGAAGTAGATAAGAACAGCCCTAGCCAGTTTGGCTCAGTGGATAGAGCATCGGCCTGTGGACCAAAGGGTCCCTCCCGGGTTTGATTCCGGTCAAGGGCACGTACCTTGGTAACAGGCTCCTCCCTGGCCCCGGGCCCTGGTCTGGGCTCGTGTATGAGGCAATCAATCTATGTGTTTCTCTCACATTGATGTTTCTCTATATCTTTCCCTCTCTCTTCCACTCTCCCTGAAATACCAATGGAAAAATATCCTTTAGTGAAGATTAACAACAACAACAACAAAAGTAAATAAAAACAAATTAATTATTTAAAAAGGAGATAAGAACAAAAAGCAAAACCAAGGGTAGAAACACACCACCAAGATAGGTTCATATACATACAAGTGCTGGTCTCTGCAAGCACTTCTAGTGGGTCACACATTTGTCCTAAGCTTTTTCATTGTCACAGGAAAAGGGAAATCGATTTGTTTCAATTTTGTCCTGTCCTTAAAATTCAAAAAGAATATTGTTAAAGAGAAGCAAACTTATTCTTAGTATCCAACTAGGAAGACATCTCTTCCGAAGGTCTTCAAAAGAGACCCTAGTAAGGACATGACCAACGTCTTCCATCTTCTGTGTGCCCTCTCTCTGCACTGCCTCTTAACATGAGACTAAGGCACCAAACCCAGTCTCCTTAGTGGGCAGGGAGCTGGGCAGACTACAGGTTCTCCCTCTGGAACCAACCAGTGCTGGCTTTTTAGTCAGCAAATTGGGGTAAATTGCTAAGCTCCAAATCATTGTGTTTCATTCTGAATTAGAATTAACAGTACATTGAAACAATACCCTGCATAAACTCCTTTTTAAAAAAATCTTCGTAGTCTGTTTTCTTCACAGCAGCCTGTATAACGTTGAATCCCTCAAATCCCCTGTTTTCCTAGACTGAAACCTACGCTCCTTAATAAGTCCCACAAGGCCCTGCGTGATCCTCCCCGCAGTGGTCTCACCCACCACACCTTGTACCCCTGTGCCTGTTGTTCCCACTCTTAGGCTAAGTCACAGTCATTTCTCCTCCTTGGCAGAGACATTCCCATGTCAGTGGCTCTGCACATGCCAGCACGTTTGCATGGGACATGCTCCCTTTTCCCACTCTACCACCCCTTATCTAGTTAATTCCTGCTTCTCAAAGCCACTATCTGTACTCTCCTTAGGTGAACCGGGCACCTTGTATCACTACAGTCTGCGATCACACTCTCTACATTTCCAATATGGAAAGTATCAATACTTTAATTAGCTCATTCAATTTCTTCTTCAGTTGTTCAACAGGTATTTATAGATCAGCATCTACTCTGCACTGGATAGTTTTTGCTCTAAGATACAGCCATGAAGAAAATGTACAATGATATCTACCTTCCTGTAATTTCCGTTTTAGCGGTGGAGGGCTAAGAGCCTTCAAGAAAATATAAGCACTATGTGTTCAGTGACTATATCTGTCTTGTTCACAGAGGCATCCCCTGAACATAGCACAATGTGCCCGATATACTAGTAGTTTCTATCAGTGTGAATAGCCTGGGTAATGATGGAAACAAATGACCCTAAAATTTTAGTGGCTCAAAGCAATACAGGTTTATTTTTGGATCATTCGATATGACTGAATCTCTTCCCATCTTCCAATCACAATCATTCAGGGACATAGTTCAGTAGAATAGCCATCCTCTCAAATATTGCCAGTTATTATGCCAGAGAGAAAGGGAGAGAAAACTCTCCAGAGTATTGACCAGGATTTAAATATTCCAACCCAGAAGTACGTGAAACACTTCCACTTACAACTTACTGGCCAGTTAATCACCTGGCTATATATACCATAAGGAGCCAAAAGGAGCCATAATTATTTGGCAGATGTCACTACTGGCAATGACAATGAGAATT